TTATAAGGCAATTTTTCAAGAATTCAGTGAAAACAACTTGTAGTTGTTTGATATGCTCAGTCTCAGTTTTGCTGAAGACGAGAATATCATTAATGTAAACTAAGACAAAATCAAAATAATTTTTGAATATCTGATCCATTTTTCTTTGGAATATTGAAGGTCCATTTTTCAATCCAAACGGCATGACTTGCCATTCAAAATGTCCTTCGGGACAAGTGAAGGCGGTCCATGGAATGGATTCTTTTTCCATTTTGATTTGCCAAAAACTAGACTTACAATCCAACTTGCTAAAAATTTTTGAATTTTGAATGCAGTTGATTAGTTGGTCTCTATCTGGTATTCTGCATGCATCTTCATAAGTGTTATCATTTAGCCTTTTATAATTTATAACCATCCTAGCCTTTCCTCGTTTAATTTCTACATGATTTCTCACCATGAATGCTACAGAGGAATGTCTAGAACTAGAATGCTTTATGACTCCTAAGGCTAAAAGTTCTTTTATTTGAACCTCAAATTCTTGCCTGTCAAGTGGATTGTGATCCATCTTGCCACAAGTAATTCTAAGTTCAGGATTTATTATATCTAGTTTTGCTATACATTTGTTTCGATCCCAATATTTGATTGGGTCTTCTCCTAAGACTTGAGTTTCATCAGCTATTCTGATTAACTCATCCAAGTTCATTTTTTTTGTAATTTTTATTTTTTTTCTTTTGTTTTCTTCTTTCTGAAAGTTTGAAAGAGTTTTTTTCTATATTTACATGCACTACTTCTTCATTATTAATTAAGTTATCGAAAAACTAATAATCTATAGAATCTTCAAATATTTCCAAAGTCTCTTTTGAGGGATTTGGTGTATAATCAGATTCTAATAAATCATCAAAAAACTTTTCATCATTACTTAAATAATTACTATTATATTCAAAATGCTTATTTAATTTATTTTGGATTTTTTGGGGTGCTATTTCTTCTAGTTTTGGAAGATTCATGACATATCTATCCGTTGGGGTGTAACTGGTTCGTTTTGCAAACTGTACTCCATTGGAAGAAATTGTCATTTGGCCCTGGAAGTGAGTGATAAAGTTTAAACCAATTATGAAGGGATAATTATTTTGGATATTATGTACAATTACTTGAGGTAAGGTGTACTTTTCTCCAAAATTTCTTGATCCCCAGTCCTAGAAAGAAATTTTTGCATCCTTTAGGCATTTATCATATTTGAGTTGAGTTCCATCCATTTGAGTTCCATAAACAGTTTTCATTGTTGAGACTTGAGAACTCGGGAATTCTGTTTTAAGGATGTGAGATTTAGATGCTCCTGTATCAATCATTCCTAAGAATTCTTTTGTTTCTCCATTTTTAAAGGTGATTGAAACCAGTATGCTAACTAGGGTATTTGGATCTTTGGGGTTTGTTGGAACATTAGCTGATAAAGTAGAGATTTGTTCTTCTTTATCTGCTATTGGTTCATTAGCATCCTTTCCTTTGAGTGGAAGTTTTGCTAATTGGTTCTCCAGTTCCTTTGTTCTTTGGTGGAGAAATTCTATCTGTTCTTCTAATTCCAAGATGTATTCATCCTTTTCATTGAGAGTTTTATTCATTGATTTCATTTCTTGCAATAGACAATTTTTCTACATCTCTAATTAATTGTTCTTCATTTGATGCAGGGATGTTTATTTGATTTACAGGTTTTGAAGGCTATACCTGTTTAACCTCTTCTTTTAATTTTTTGTGACAGAATATACAATATACTTTTGAGCATATTGTACATTTCAATTTTGTAGAAGGCTGGGTGTACCTATGACAATCTAAACATTTTTCCCATTGTGGGGGTTGATTTGATTGCCATAAATGTTTGCAGTTAGAATCAATCTTGATCATCATGATTTTTACAGTGTTTAATTTTTTTATCAAGAGAATCTATAAACTGCTGAAGATTTTGATCTTCAAAGTCTATGTCTTCTTCAGATTCTAAATGAGATTCAGACAAGTCTTCTATAAACAAATCTTCTGAAATGATGCTGTAAACATCACTTTCAGACTCGTATCCACTTATAGAGATGATGTCTTCTTCTTCCGCAAGATTTGCCCATATGTGAGATCTTTTAGTTGGTTTGTTTTTGTCTGGGCATTTATTTGCATAATGTCCTGGATCTCCACATATATAGCATTTTCTGTCTTTCTTTGGATTTTTGGGTTTTTTCACATATTTCTCCTTTTTACCCGTTTTTCCTTTTTTGAAGGTTTTACTAGGCCTAAGAGAATATGTTTTCTTTTTTGTGAATTTTTTGGGTTTGCAAGAAAAACATTCTTTTTGGCATTTTTTGTATTTTTTCCTCCTATTATATGATTCTTTTGAAGAACCATGTCCCCTAATTATAGATTTACAAAAACCAAATTTTTGCTTTTTAAGAGATTTTTGGATTTGAATATCTACACATTTTTCTCTTAATATTTTATATATAAACAAAATCCTCAGACTTGTTCCCTGTTGAGGTGTAGGGTTTGAAGCTAGCCATTTTTCTTTGATTTGTTTGCCAAGGGTGCTTGGCAGCTTATCAAAGATTCTGTTATTTAAGTTGTCATCAAATCCTTGTCCCGTTCTAGCAACAAGTTTAAGAAAATCATTGCAAAAGGACTCGATTTGATACCAAGATGTTAACTTAAGGACCTCAAGTTCCTCAATAACTTTATTTTGTAAAGCTCTTTCGGAATCAACAGTTACATCAGATCCTAAGAACATCTTTTTGATTAAAGAGGTAAAATTGTACGGATTTTCCCCCAAGTCTTGTGTTTCAGCAACTAAGGTTGGGTTCTCTCTTTTAAAGGTATTCCAGTACAATTCTACAGTGGGGCCTAGAAGTGTTTCTAGGAATTCGAACATCTCACCATCCATAGATCGATTGATCCATGCCCGGCAAGCGTCTCTTTCCCATTGATCTATTATTTCTACCCAAAGCTGTGGATTCCAACTTGGTAATTCTAGAATAGTCCCTTGCTGTTTTGTAGCAGGTAACTGGTTTGGGTCAATCTCCATTTTTTTACCAAATTGTATCCTTTCTCTATTCTCTCTCCTATACTCAAGTGTTGCTTGAGCTATGGGATATCTTCCTCCTAACTGGTATGTTCTAGAACCGAAGACTCTAGATGTTCTGGGAGCACTAGAATTTTCTTCAATTTCGGATCTAGTTGGAGCACTAGGGTTCCGGTTAGGATTTTGATTTGGATTTTCAAGGGTTACATTCATGAATATTTTTTCCTGTTGGGATTCATATTCATGAATAATTTGAAGTATGGGTTTTTGATTTTTGAAGTAAGCCTCAACTGGAAGTTCTAGATCTAGAATTTGATCCTCAATGTCTTCCCCATTGTATTTCAGTGTTAAGACTTCTTCAACATTAACTTCTTTTCCTTTTGAAGAAAAGTAAGTTTCAATAAATTTCCATTCTTCATTATATTTGTCTTTGATTGGTCCCCATTTTTCAAAATGTTCTTCCCTTTTTCTTAAGGTTTGAAGCCAAGACGGTCCACTTTCTTCATTTTCAATTTATTCAGTGAAGTGTAACATCTTGATTTCAACTGTTTCTTCATTTTCTTCTTATTAAGGAAGAATATTTTCATAATCACTAAAGCTTAGACTCGTTTCTCCCTTATAATTTTGATATAAGGTATTTCGAGTGGGTACCATTATAGGCTTGCTGAGGAATTTGGTTATGTTCCATTCAGATAGGTTGAATCTAAATATTTAGCTTGAACGGCCTTAATTCCCTTTGTTCCAAATATTTCACATATTTCTTCACTGGTTACTCTATAATTGGTGTTGACGACCACTTAAGATTTTTCAAAACAATGAAAAATTACGTGTGAAAATATAAAAGAAAAAAGAGTCGCCACTCGTCCAAATTATAAGATGGGACAAGTCACCTAAAACTGGTCTACGTAGAGATCTGGGTTCGGAGGTTCGGTTAAGAATGAGAAAAGGCATACGCGCACCTCACAATCCTCCGTGTAAACACGGTTGCATACTTTAAAATTGGGGTTTTAATTCAACTTATTTATTATGTTTATGTTTGAGTCTTAAAAAGTAAACTTGAAAAAAGAGATAAACCAAATCAAAACATTTTTTTTTTTTTTGGATTGAAATAGACAATCAAGAACATGCATGCACAATAAACATAAATAAAAATTAAATGGACTGATTTGATTAAAATAAAAAAAATAAAGGACTGATTTGAAAAGATTTGAAACTTTTGAACTAAAGTGCTTAAACATGAAAGTTTGTAGATGAAATTGAGATAAAATAAAAGATAACTTTGACTTTGACCAAGATTAAAGTTAATTGAAAATTAAAATTAATTAATCAAAATAAATTAACTTAATTAAATAATTAACTTAATATTAATTAAAATTAATTAAAATTAATTAATCATATTTGATAATCATCAATTGAAATAACTAAATAAATCTAATAATCTCAAATCAAACTCAATAAATATGATTAATTTATTTTAATT